TCGTTAAGGGGTATCCTTCACAGATGCATTTGCAGTTCACTTTTCCACTCAACATTGTGTTAGGAGCTACACTAATGCAAGAATGGTGCTCAATTTCTTTGAACTATTGTTTAAATCCTGTATCATATCCCTTTTGAGAGATGGTAGTGGTTAATCTTGTCAACCCTAAGTGTGTCTTCGGGTGTCCCTAGAGATGGCTGACTAAGAAGAAACTTGTCCTGACCATACAAGGTATCATCCCACATACTGGGGCCTTTGATGGAATAAAAAGGGGAAAGGAGGGCACAGCTAACACACTTTGTGTCACCGTGGCTTTCCCCACACTCCTGTGGGGATCTTCTGAAAGCCTGAGCAGCCAAATAAATCTCTCCTGCTTCATCTCCCTTACCTCTATGTTTATGTCAGAAACTTTTGTTCCAGTGATGGGACACAAACACAAGTGTCACTTAGCTGGTTTGCAATATTTTGCCCTGATATACTATACTAATAGGAACAAGCCAGCTACTCCTCTGGTCCAATTGGTTCTAATTTTAAAATAAAGTCTCTTAAATCTGAACAATTCTCCATAATCTACAATGACCATTAGTATCTTAAACATCTTTACCCAGCTCTTTACCCACTCCTGGCCTCTTCTCTGTCTACACCATTCCATGGAGTCAGATTGGGCCCCAGCCTGTAAATCCTTCAGTGTCTTCCCATCCTGGCTGCAATAGAAACTCCTCCTCTAGTGTACCTTATCTTGAAGTGGCTTTGTTCTTGAGTTGCTCTTTACTACATGAAGTCTACACTAATGTTTCTTGTAAGAACTGAAATTTTTTTTTTTTTTTTTTTGAGACAAGGTTTCTTTGTGAAACAGTCCTGGCTGTCCTGGAACTCACTCTGTAGAGCTGTAGACCAGGCTGGCCTTGAACTCACAGAGATTCATCTGCCTCTATCTCCCAAGTGCTGGGATTAAAGGCATGTGCTGTCCGCCTTCACCTCCCCAACCCCAGATTATTTTCTAATGTCTCAAGAAGACTAAGAATGCTCTTTTCAGAACTTTACACAGGCAAAGTGACTTGGATGTCCCTTTGTTCTGTGACCTCACTTGCACAAAACCATATTCATAAGAACACTGCATGAGGACAGTTTTAGCTCACCGGTCTCCAAGTTTATTCACCCAACAAATGTTGGTTGAGGACCTGGCTGTTTCCAGGGATTTTGCCAAACAAACCAAGAGCTGCTTCTTTTGATGCCTACTTGGGGAACTGGAGTTCTTTGTCTCTTGCACAGAGGGTAACCTTTGGGCAACCCCTTCCAACCCATTGTCTTCCCACATTATTTATTTATAAGTCTTTAGGGTCAATATCCAGAGAAGTAAGTGTGTGTGTGTGTGTGTGTGTGTGTGTGTGTGTGTGTGTGTGTGTGCTCGAAGCATTTTGCTGCATTCTATTCGCTGCCAAGGGTTATGGAGACATCAATACCAAAAGAAAGTTTTAAAATGAGGGGGAAATGCTTTCACTTCAAATCTATGATTATAATTAAAGTCTTTTAAAGCACCCCAGTTTTTTCGGTTGTTTCTTTCTTCTGTAAGCAAGTTTGTTTGTTTGTCTGATTTTTTATTCCCTCTTTAAAGGGGGGGGCTCACTTATTTTATTGTTTTATTATTCCCAGTTGCCGAGAAGGGCTATGAAAAACAGGTCTTTCAAACTAACTCGGGTAGTTCCCAATTTTGCCTGGAGAAAAATGGACAATCCACATTGTAATCCACATTGAGATACAAGCTGTAATCTGCAGCTTGTATCTCAGAAAGATCAATCTCTAAAGACTTTTACCCTTCAAGTGAGTCTTTTTTGACCTGCAGGGAATGTTTGCTATTTTAAAACCCACGGGTCAAGGGTAAAACGGTCGACTTCTGAATGTTTCTGGAAGCATCAGGATTTAACTCGGCAATTACTTCAGATAGATACTGCGGTGGTTTGCCAGATAAGAGTTGTTACGCCCGGGATAAATCAGCTAGTAGTGGGTGGTGTCGCTGCTGGGTTCTTTGATATTTATCCATTTTCAAAAGATTAAACCACAGCAAAAATAAGAACGCTGGGGTTGACTCTGCACGCAGTCTCTGCCGGCCCTCCCCGCTTGCATGTTGCATGCAAATCAGCCGGCCAGACCCGGGACCACGCAGTCACTTTCGCGCCACTTTCCCAGGACCGCACAGCTCCATAAAGAACCGGCAGTACTAAGTCCCCAAAATGTTACTGTTTCAAAGCGCATTCTGCACTTTCCGAGGACACTCAGGATTACAACGGTCGGAACCGCTTCGATTTTTTTTTCCTGGGGCTTGGGCGCTTCAGGTGCTGCTAGGGCAGTCATCTTAGCTGGCAGGACCTGTGTCCCGGCGCGGG